TATATACCAAAAAGTGCACAGTTTTATTGCTAAAAATAAATGAAGGATGCCTTCAAGGTGGTGTTTATTCAAAGGTGGTGTTTATTCAGTATTTGTGCTGTAAACAGAAATCCTCTAGGGTTTGGTCATGCAATGTATATCAAGTGTACAGTTTTTCAAGCTCTTCAGCAAGTATGCTGCCCTAGTCATTGCTAAGAAACTTGCTACAGTTTTTACTGTGTGTTTACACTGTCTTGAGACTGTTCTCTATCTCATATGCTTCAATGTGATGTGATGGTGCTGGATACATGTTTAGAGTTGTTACTATACTGTAGAATCTGGTGTCTGTTTGGTGGACATCCTTTGACGGATAACAACTCAATCCACTAATGCCTAAAACCTTTGCAAATTATTGCATATATGCACACGTACTCAGTTGCTCGCGTTATCCGCTTGCTTTCATCATTTTCTCATTCAAGCGCTCTCTTTAAATTCCACCTAATAAGAAAATGTTGTCTTGGGGCCGTCTGGTCAGCTTGAACTAGGATGTCAGTGAGAACACAATGGGGCATAGCACTGACTTAACATCACGGTTAATAATTTACAGACCTGCTGCAAATGTTTCACAGCACATTTTTTCCCCCATGAGGAGATCACTTGTTTAAATTGTGGTGTGAATAACTGACTATATTCAAGCACAGCTCACAGAGTCCAATTACTAATCTCAGCAGATAAGCATTTCTGCTGTTATCTGGAGTTTTGAATTCAATTGAATTAGAGAACAGGGGCCCCGCAAGTTGATGTTGGTCAGTGTAATAATAATAATGCATCTTTGTTCATATACAATGGCAAACTTTGAAACGCTCGGGATCCCTGCTTAACAAAGCATTTAGATGGAAATCAAGGTCAGATTGATGTTTATTTGTTTTGGCCTTAGGACCTGTATGAAAATAGCCCTCAATGAGGAAAAACTCCCACGAAAACCTCATCAACATTAAAGGCAGTTTGTTCTGTTTGTGTGTTGCTGTTTACCAGGGAGGCTTTTGATCACTGACACCCCCAATAGATAAAGTGAAGCATGAAGGCCAAATCCTGCCCCGCATTGATCTGAACAAACATCCCCCTCCCGTTGCCAGCATACACGCACACACGCATACGCACACACGCTGTCCTAATATTACCATAGTGTTAGTACTCTACAGCAAGATCAACAGTGTGTGACAACAGCTGTGTCACATTATGAATATTGCAACATCAATGGGTGCAGAGGTCATTATACGAATTAATTGGCAGTGGTGCTGTCATTAACGCTATCCAAACACGCCTATAGTTAATGCGAATGATCCAAAAATGTTTTATCTAATTGTTTATTCATGCTGTCCCTCCATTATTCGTTTTCAGCTTTTGCTAGTAGCATTAGGGTCATCCTGTGTGTAAGTTGCAGACAAGAGATTTTGCACTATTCTGTGAATGTTATTTCTTCAAAGTTGCCCTGCATTATTAATTTGAGTGTTAGTTTCAAGTTGCCTTGGGTACTTATCTTTGTGTTTTTACCCTCCAACCCTCTGTAATCTCCTATTACCCCCTCCACTTTGCCCATTCCCCCTTTGCTACCCTCCTCTCTCTCCCTCCCTTTTTTTCTCTCCCAGGCGAGTGATGCATGCTGCAAACGGTGCGTGCGTGTAGTGTGAGCGAGAGCCATCGGTGTATGCGTGTGCTTGTGTTGCGTGTGTGTTTGACTGTATGAGTGTGTGTGCTTGAATGTGTGTTGAGAGAGCGAGAGAGAGCAAGAGCGAACGAGAGAGAGAGAGAGAGAGAGAGAGACGGATAGACCGAGCCTCTAACACGGAGCATGCCTCTGCGTCCGGCAGCCGGCAAACATGAGCCACCGAGCCCTCCACGGCAGGACCAGCAGCAGCAGCAGCACACACACACACACTCACACACACTCACACACCCTCACACACACGCAGCAAACGGCAGCCAGGGGGCCAGCACTGACAGCAGCAGCTCCCGGGAAGAGGACAGTGGCGTTCCCGTTCCTCACGGTGTTCCGGCTTTCCGTCCCAGTGCAGAGCGTAGCAACAGTGCAAGAGCACCCATGGAGGAGCCAACAGGCAACACGGTGGTCATCCGCATTGGAATCCCAGACTTGCAGCAGACGGTAAGAGCTCATTCTGTAGCCAGAGTATAAAAGAGAGGTAATCTGCCTCTCCCCCTTCCTCTTTGAATAGGTGCTTTCTACCTCTCTACTGCTGGCTTTATGTATTATCTGTCCTTTTAAACATCGTCAGCTTTTAATTTTTTGTCTTTTCCGTCAGCTTCTCTTTATCGTTATCACCCATGCTCTTCTTTTCCCTTGTTTTCGGTTTTGGTTTTTTTTGGTATGCACACTTAGTAGCTGTGTTTGCTTGCTGGCTTCTGGGGGTTCCACTCCTCCCCTCCCCACCTTTTCCACTGTTGCCTCGCTAATAAATCTACCTCTTCATTAACTGGGCTTCAGCTGACTTTGACAACTGGCCACTTAGGGTGAGAATGGGGACTGAGGGAAGGGGGAGGAACGGAAAAGGCATCAGGGGTAACGGAGGCTGTGAGGTGATTGCAAATGCCCAAGAAGGCACGAGGTAGAGAATCATGACAGTTATACCTAAACAGTAAAACTTTACCTCATCATGTCGTCTTCCCACTGTGTTTGCTCTGTGCCCAGAGAGTATAACAGGTCCAATCATACACTGTTCCACCACTAATGAAGCTGCAGTTTCTCTGAATGTGTAGCCTGTGCCTGTGTAGTATTGCAGCCACTGAAAATAAAAGCAGAACCATCAGACTGTTGAAACCATTTGATCGCCTTCACAAGTGTGTCCATATCGGTATGTGATTGCTGCAGAGGGTGGTGTGAAACAGGACAAATGGGCACATAGTAAATTAGTTCTGTCATTCAGTTTTCAAGCTATCTCATTCATGTAGATTCAACAACATTGAGTAATGCAGTGCAGTGGAACATCTCTCACTGAAGTGTCAAGGTGCCATTTCTTTGAGGTTAACGGGGATCTTCAATCTGATTTCCTGGAACTGCACTTAACTGCAGAGAAATAGCATTTTACTGTTTGATTGGCTGTAAAATAAAACGTTCAGCTCAACATATCTTGACCCCATGTTATATGTCTGCAGCTATTGCTGCTCTCTCTCTCTCTCTCTCTC